ATCACCTCCGGGTTCCGATTGGTCACAGAAGGGCAAGATTCCTCTATATTTTATATTTTTAGTATTCCTTTAAATTAAATATTTAACTTCGTAATACTGGGACAGCTCTATATCCTGTGAGTTATATCCTATATAGGGGCTCATATCTCATGTCCTATACTGTTTGCACTACGTATTGTATTTTTGTTTTATAGAGTGTTCCGGTCATAGAAATTCTATATTGTTCTGCATTTGGTGTAATATTTCTATTTATTATACTATTTATCTTTCAAGTGTTGGGGGATACACCTTTACTACACCTGTGTGTTCTTAATTTGGTAGTGCCTACACACCGTTGTACTTTTTTAAATCCTGGACCCTGTAGGGATAATAGGAGGGAGTAAGTATGCCGAACTGTTAATGTATAAAATATTACCATCTCTCTACAACAACTGGCTATACTGTATTCCATGGTCTATGGAAGAACGTGCGAGATCACTGACATCAGAAGGATCTTCCAACAAGCGTGCAAAATTTATCTATAAAATAAGACGATTCCTACAATGCCAACCTACAGTGTTTGAAGGTAGCCTTTGTTAAGTAATGGGATATATCTTTATTAAAAATTCAATAGTTACAGGTTCACTTTAAAACAACCACAAACAAAAACACAAATCTACAGCTTTTTAACTTTCCTTTCAATTTGTTCACTTTATGAGCCATTACCCCTCCATATGGAAAGAGAGATTACAAGAATTATATTTACTTAGCTCCAGGCAAGTTATACAATGTGATATTAATAAGAATGTTAGAAATACTGTGTCATATTAAGATACTGTGAAACTTAAGTATAAAATGTGAAGAGTGTGACAAACCTGTTGTATTTTGAACCTTTGCATGAAAGGTATGAACTGAAAAATAAAGCCAGGAAGGCAGAGCACAAAATATATGAGGTCGTGAACGATGAGTGTTCCCCATGTAGCTATCTGAAACTTGGTGTAGTTGTCTAGCATGTAAGTCCAAGCATATTTGAAAGGCCGTTGCAGAGGGTTTTCAGGTAGAAACGAGTCTATGTATTCAACAACCAGGTAAGCTGAATTGAGAACACTGTCATTGGCTGCCATTTTGTCCACATATTTTAGGATACCCTATGCATAAATAGGAAAATGATTTTTAAAATGTTTTGTCCATAGTTAGGGAATGTGAATAACAAATCTACAATAAAATCTCACGTATTCAATTAGCCTTTTGGGCACTATTTTGACACTAAAATAGAGGTATCTTAAAATATATATATATATATATATGTATATATATATACAGTTTTCTGTATCTTGTGTGTTTATATATATATATATATATATATATAGAGAGAGAGAGAGAGAGAGAATGATGGGAATTGCACTCCAGCTCTCCTTAGTTATTGCCCAGTGCTCGGCTGCACAAATGTATAACTTTCAAAAAAGAGTCAGCACTCAAGGACTTTCAATATGCTAAAAAATGCAAAAAACCTTTTTAATCCAGTTGGTAAAGAGGTCAACGTTTCAGTCCATCGTCGTGGACTTTCATCAGGACATAAATGACAAAATACAACATTCAGTTTAAATAAGAAAGAGCTAACTTACCAAACCGTCCCCACCTGTGTGCCGGCGTGGTCTGTTCCCCAGTGCGCATGCGTGTCACTCCGCTCATCTACTTCCGGTGCTAAAGTGCAACCTACCCGTCACTCTAGCAAACTGTAAATAGATCGCAGAAAACAGCGATCCGTGACCGCATATTAAAAGTGCCCAGTGCTGTGATATCAACTTAATATTCATGTAAAGCTGGCAACTAACACAGCCAGCAAATCTATTCATATTCTCTTATTTACAATGTATTCTTATTGATACAGTAAGAGCAATGTGAGCTATTTGTATAAGTGCACATCATCATGTGTACTAGCAAAGTGTGATGAAAGGAGGTAAAGGTTAATTTACCTCATATATGAAAAAAGTGCAAGTGCTCAAAATAAAAAACTAACAGTGATGATTACTTAAAGTGACATGTGCAAATATATACATTCTATCTAATATTTGAGTAAGTGAACACACTCTATTGCTATGGGGTTACAGTGTTATATAATACAAGATCACTACCTAAATAACAAATATAATAACATGTATTCTGCTGTTTAACAGCACCATTCCCAAATATCAAAGTTTAGAGACAAAATATTATTTATATACAATTGTGTCCCTATTAAATTACAGATAGATACTAAAGAGTGGAAAAAAACCACCCTCCCTTGAGAAAAATCTAAATACCACATATAATAAAAAAAATGTGCCTATATCTTAATCCATATCAAATGCACTGGGAATGTATGCTGCAAACATATTTGCAGACAGAAAAATGATGATAAAATCAATATGATAATTTATCCAACCACTTAAATAAATGATGTAAATGTCAGTTTTTCATTAAGGCCCATGGGGGCCATAGTATTTAACCCCTTAAGGACGGAGCCAAATGTACACATTGTGAACAAAACAAAATGTAAACAAAACCTGGCATTTGCGCTACATGTCTGTCCAACCGTAATACACCTCTTTCATAGTAAATGCACCCACCCTTATTATATATCATTTTATTCAGGGGAAACAGGGCTTTCATTTAATATCAAATATTTAGCTATGAAACATAATTTAATATGAAAAAAATGGGAGAAAATACGTTTTTTTTGGATTTTTTTAGTTCTACATGACATTTTAACGGTCAATGTCATAATACTGTTTGTTTTTACTGCAATAAAAATACACATTTGTATTCAGTAAAGTCTCACGTGTAAGACAGTACCCCCTATGTACAGGTTTTATGGCGTTTTGGGAAGTTACAGGGTCAAATATAGCACGTTACATTTGAAATTGAAATTCGCCAGATTGGTTACGCTGCCTTTGAGACTGTATAGTAGCCCGGGAATGAAATTTACACCCATAATGGCATACCATTTGCAATAGTAGACAACCCAAGGTATTGCAAATGGGGTATGTCCAGTCTTTTTTAGTAGCCATTTGGTCACAAACACTGGCCAGAGTTAGCGTTCGTATCTGTTTGTGTGAAAAATGCAAAAAATGCCAATTTTGGCCAGTGTTTGTGACTAAGTGGCTACTAAAAAAGACTGGACATACCCTGTTTGCAATACCTTGGGTTGTCTACCATTGCAAATGGTATGCCATCATAGGGGTAATTTTCATTCTTGGGCTACCATAGGGTCTCAAAGGCACCGTAACCAATCTGGCGAATTTTAATGTGAAAAAAATGAAACGCAAGCCTTATATTTGACGCTGTAACTTTTGAAAACACCATAAAACCTGTACATGAGGGGTATTGTTGTACTCGGGAGACTTCGCTGAACACAAATATTTGTGTTTCAAAACAGTAAAAAGTATCACAGCAATAACATTGTCCGTGTAATGCTGTTTGTGCGTGAAAAATGCAAAAAACTTCACTTTTACTGGCGATATCATCGTTGTAATACATTTTACTGTTTTGAAACACTAATATTTGTGTTCAGCGAAGTCTCCCGAGTAGAACAGTACCCCCCATGTACAGGTCTTATGGTGTCTCGGAAAGTTATAGGGTTAAATATAGTGCTAGCAAATTAAATTCCCTTTACTTTCGGCATGGGTTGTCAGGCAGGTCCTGCTTATTGTAATTAATTAAGATACCTAATTATGTAAAAATATTACATAAATATATATGTAGAATTAATATATGTATATATATACGTATGTGTATATATATGTATATATCTATATAATTTTTTAAAATATTTTTATTTATATATAGGTATATATATAGTGATATATACGTATATATTTATGTATATAGATATATATATTATTTCGTTCTACGTGTATTTTGATATATATATATATATATTAATTTCACAAAACAGTTAGAACGAAATAACACACATCTATATATATTTTAATTATTTATTTTTAATTATTTTTTAAATTTTATTTTTTAACGTATTTATATTTTTATTTTTTTTATATTATATATAAATATATATATAACAATAATTATATATATATTTAATCAGTATCAGTCTACGTGTAATTTGATATTAATATATATATATATAATTATATATATATATTAATAGTAAAATACACCTAGACGGTGTATGTGTGTGTGTATGTATATGTGTATATATATACTTAGATCATATATATATAATATATACATATGATCTAAGTATATATAATTATTTTTTTTTACATCATTAACTTATTTTTATTTTATTTTCAGCCAGCAGGGGGACCACCTGTCATTACAGGCAGCCCCCCTGCCGGCAATACAGAAGCCAGCTATCCCCGGCCATGTGATTGTGGGGTCCTCGCTAGGACCCCACTCTCACATGGCTGGGGGGCTTCGACGAGGACGGACGTGCCACGGGGGGCTCCCTGGGAGTCCCCCCAACCGCGATCGCCGGCGGACCGGGTAAGTTAACAAAAACCAGAGGGCGTACAATTACGCCCGGCGGCGTTTAGAGCCGCCTATTAGAGGGCGTAATTGTACGTCCTCCGGTTTTAAGGGGTTAATTCACGAATCCAAAATGTCTCTCTCTGCAACAATGCCTTAGAGCGATCTCCTCCTCTTCTAGAAATTGGAATGTGGTCAATGGCTATACATTTCAATGATGTCAATGGATGTTTATGTTCAAAAAAATGACGAGCCACCGCTTTGTCCGTACTACCATCTCTACACAGGACCTGATTGACAGATTGAAGAGAATTGAATATGTTCCCACAAATTTGGTGTTAATTACATTAGATGTGCAGAGTCTCTACACTATAATCCCCCATGAGGAAGGTATAGAAGCAATGAGACGGATATTATTGGAATCATCTTACTATAAGGGTCCACCTATAGAATTTGTCATGGAATTGCTTATGCTAACACTCCAACTTAATTACTTCAGATTCGAAACCCGATGGTATATGCAATGCTCAGGAACATCGATGGGTGCGGCGATGGCGCCGATGTATGCGAATGCATACATGCATATTTTTGAGAGAGAACACGTCCTACATCCATACAGAGAACGAATCGTACAATATGTGCGCTTTATCAATGATATTTTGATTTTGTGGAAAGGCTCAATAGCCGAGGCTGAGCAATTCGTGAAGAATGTCAACTGCCTCCCCAGTCCTGTTAAAATCACGGCAAACATCAGTGATACAATGGTACAGTATCTGGATTTGGAGATTCTCATTAAAGACAAGAAAATAGAGTATCAGCTTTATTCAAAGCCTACTGATAGAAACACCATACTGCACTTTGAGAGTGCACATCCTGAACACAGTAAGAAATCCTTACCATACACTCAATTTTTAAGAGTGTTTCGGAATAATTCATCGGCTGAACGGGTTGAAAATCAAGTGGATAGCATGTACAATAAATTCCTCATGAGGGGATACAATCGGCACATACTTGATGCAGCTTTAGATAAAGCAAGAATGGAAATGGTGAACACTGTGAATGTACAGCAACAAACAAGGACAACAAGATTGACTTTTCCAATGAAATTCAATTCTGCTAGTTCCAAACTTGTTCAAGCTGTTAAGGGGAACTGGAATATTTTAACGGGAGATCCAACTCTGCCTACAATATTCTCTCAAAGTCCAATGATATGTTACAAGAGGGAGAAAAACTTGCGAGACTTGTTAGTCCGCACTGATCCAGAACAGTTATCTGCGGAATCAGAATAAATTTCTCAACCCAGGCTGTTTTCGTTGTCTAGGATGTGTGACCTGTGGGCATCTTATTCCCACGAAGTCTTTTTTACATCCACACACCCAGAAGAAATACATAATTAAACAACGCATTTCTTGTAAAACAGATCATGTTATTTACAAACTGTCATGTCCGTGCGGATTACATTACGTTGGGAAAACAGATACACAATTGTGCGAAAGAATAAGGGGACATCGCTCAAGTATACGCACGGCGATCAGAGATGGTAGTACGGACAAACCGGTGGCTCGTCATTTTTTTGAACATAAACATCCATTGACATCATTGAAATGTATAGCCATTGACCACATTCCAATTTCTAGAAGAGGAGGAGATCGCTCTAAGGCATTGTTGCAGAGAGAGACATTTTGGATTCGTGAATTAAATACTATGGCCCCCATGGGCCTTAATGAAAAACTGACATTTACATCATTTATTTAAGTGGTTGGATAAATTATCATATTGATTTTATCATCATTTTTCTGTCTGCAAATATGTTTGCAGCATACATTCCCAGTGCATTTGATATGGATTAAGATATAGGCACATTTTTTTATTATATGTGGTATTTAGATTTTTCTCAAGGGAGGGTGGTTTTTTCCACTCTTTAGTATCTATCTGTAATTTAATAGGGACACAATTGTATATAAATAATATTTTGTCTCTAAACTTTGATATTTGGGAATGGTGCTGTTAAACAGCAGAATACATGTTATTATATTTGTTATTTAGGTAGTGATCTTGTATTATATAACACTGTATCCCCATAGCAATAGAGTGTGTTCACTTACTCAAATATTAGATAGAATGTATATATTTGCACATGTCACTTTAAGTAATCATCACTGTTAGTTTTTTATTTTGAGCACTTGCACTTTTTTCATATATGAGGTAAATTAACCTTTACCTCCTTTCATCACACTTTGCTAGTACACATGATGATGTGCACTTATACAAATAGCTCACATTGCTCTTACTGTATCAATAAGAATACATTGTAAATAAGAGAATATGAATAGATTTGCTGGCTGTGTTAGTTGCCAGCTTTACATGAATATTAAGTTGATATCACAGCACTGGGCACTTTTAATATGCGGTCACGGATCGCTGTTTTCTGCGATCTATTTACAGGTTGCTAGGGTGACGGGTAGGTTGCACTTTAGCACCGGAAGTAGATGAGCGGAGTGACACGCATGCGCACTGGGGAACAGACCACGCCGGCACACAGGTGGGGACGGTTTGGTAAGTTAGCTCTTTCTTATTTAAACTGAATGTTGTATTTTGTCATTTATGTCCTGATGAAAGTCCACGACGATGGACTGAAACGTTGACCTCTTTACCAACTGGATTAAAAAGGTTTTTTGCATTTTTTAGCATATTGAAAGTCCTTGAGTGCTGACTCTTTTTTCAAAGTTATATATATATATACATACATACACATACACAGGAATAATGCAGTATACAATGTTATTAAGCTAACAATACATATTACCAAAAAAAATTTCTTTCTTTTTTTTTCTTAGATACAGTTGCAAGAAAAAGTATGTGAACCCTTTGGAATGATATGGATTTCTGCACAAATTGGTCATAAAATGTGATCTGGTCATCATCTAAGTCACAACAATAGACAATCACAGTCTGCTTAAACTAATAACACACAAAGAATGAAATGTTGCCATGTTTTTATTGAACACACCATGCAAACATTCACAGTGCAGGTGGAAAAAGTATGTGAAACCCTAGACTAATGACATCTCCAAGAGCTAATTGGAGTGAGATGTCAGCCAACTGGAGTCCAATCAATGAGATGAGATTGGAGGTGTTGGTTACAGCTGCCCTGCCCTATAAAAAACACACACCAGTTCTGGGTTTGCTTTTCACAAGAAGCATTGCCTAATGTGAATGATGCCTTGCACAAAAGAGCTCTCAGAAGACCTATGTTTAAGAATTGTTGACTTGCATAAAGCTGGAAAGGGTTATAAAAGTATCTCCAAAAGCCAGATGAAACCAAAGTTGAGTTGTTTGGAAGAAACACACAACACTATGTGTGGCAAAAAAGGCACAGCACACCAACATCAAAACCTCATCCCAACTGTGAAGTATAGTGGTGGGGGCATCATGGTTTGGGGCTGCTTTGCTGCATCAGGGCCTGGACGGATTGCTATCATCGAAGGAAAAATTAATTCCCAAGTTTATCAAGACATTTTGCAGGAGAACTTAAGGCCATCTGTCTACCAGCTGAAGCTCAACAGAAGATGGGTGTTGCAACAGGACAATGACCCAAAGCATAGAAGTAAATCAACAACAGAATAGCTTAAAAAGAAGAAAATACGCCTTCTGAAGTGGCCCAGTCAGAGTCCAGACCTCAACCCGATTAAGATGCTGTGGCATGACCTCAAGAAAGCGATTCACACCAGACATCCCAAGAATATTGCTGGACTGAAACAGTTCTGTAAAGAGGAATGGTCAAGAATTACTCCTGACCATTGTGCACGTCTGATCTGCAACTACAGGAAATGTTTGGTTGAAGTTATTGCTGCCAAAGGAGGTTCAACCAGTTATTAAATTCAAGGGTTCACATACTTTTTCCACCTGCACTGTGAATGTTTATATGGTGTGTTCAATAAAAATATGGCAACATTTCATTCTTTGTGTGTTATTAGTTTAAGCAGACTGTGATTGTCTATTGTTGTGACTTAGATGATGATCAGATCACATTTTATGACCAATTTGTGCAGAAATCCATATCATTCCAAAGGGTTCACATACTTTTTCTTGCAACTGTACTTTATATCAAAAGTCATGTTGCAAAAAAAAAAAAACCCACAACTGTCAGTATTTTAAGAATAGAAGTAACATAATAACCATGACAATGTTATTGTAAAGAGCCATTAGGGTATTACTGAGTTATAAGAACCACAAAAGTTTCCTAGAGTTTCCAATTTTATTCAGATCAAAAGCAATGGCAAGGAAACTCAAAAATTGTCTTTATATTCCCATATAGTTATGCATGTCATTCACAAGGGGACATAGCAAAAATGTAGCCTAAATCATTAACGCTTGATAAAATCACTTAAGCAGCCTCTTGTATGAAATTTTAAAAAAAATTGTAATTTCCCATCTCTTAATTTTTACAAATTGGTTTCCATGTCTCCACAACTTGCTGTATAGTAATAATATAAATACAAAGTACAATGACCAGGACACTAAGGAGCTCCTATACCTTGCATAACAACTGTAATATAGATACAGTATATACAAAAACAGAACACTAAGAAACTCTTACACCCCATATAATAACTGTAACACATACAATATATATACAGTAAGGAACACTTACATCCAATACATGACTGTAATAAAGATACAATGCCATATAACTATTATTCACAAAATGTATACAGAATACTTTGGAGTCCTTGGACTCCATACAATGACTGTAATATAGATAGGAAAAAAATAAAATAAATATATATATATATCAATCATATTCACAAAGTGTATACAGACTATCATACTCCTTAATTATATTATAATTATATATAATGACTTTAGTATAGATATAATGATATATATATATATATATATATATATATATTTATAATATTTATATATTTACACTTTTATGTAATCTTTACACTCTGTATAATAATGTAATATACATATAGTATCCACACTCTCCATATAATAATATGATATAGATATAATGATATAATATATAATATCCACACTCTCCATTTAATAATGTGATATAGATATAATGATATATAATTTATAATATCCACACTCTCCATATAATAATGTGATATAGATATAATGATATATAATATGTAATATTCACACTCTCCATATAATAATGTGATATAGCTATAATGATATGTAATATATAATATTCACACTCTCCATATAATAATGTGATATAGATATAATATGTGATATTTTTGCTGCAAGGCCTATTAATGGCCCAACAAGTTGCTATTACCAAAGTTAATCATGTTTATACATTCTGGTATAACTCTTCAAATACACATGTAGCTACTTTTACCTTTGATTACTGTGATATTGTTCCTTGTACCTTTCCACAGTCACAACACTCAGCAATATGCAAAGACATACCGAACAAGAAGGACCCCCTACATTTGTGTGACAGGTGGCCATTGGGGACACCACTTTGGTACCTGGAAAGCAGCGGGTTGGAACACAGGCTGACCATGGGGCTACAGACCACAAAGTGCCTTAGATGGGCTTGACAGATATGGGAAACCCTTGTTACACAGAATGACCTTATGTAAGCCAACAGGATCTACGCCAATGAAACTCACCTTAAACATAGAACATCCCAGCCCAGGGGACGCTGGAGAGTACGTAATGGGAATGTATTGTATGTATGTAAAGGGGGTGGCTCATATAACAAGTTGGGGACCTTCTATTTACAAGACATGCTTACGTCACCTGACTGGGTAGACTCTACACACATGACGATTAACCCTATAAAACCACACATTAAAACCCTTAAAGGACCACTCTAGGCACCCAGACCACTTCAGCTTAATGAAGTGGTCTGGGTGCCACGTCCAGCTAGGGTTAACTCATTTTTTTTTATAAACATAGCAGTTTCAGAGAAACTGCTATGTTTATAAATGGGTTAATCCAGCCCTCAAAGCCTCTAGTGGCTGTCTCATTGACAGCCGCTAGAGGCGTTTGCGTGATTCTCACTGTGAAAATCACAGTGAGAGCACGCAAGCGTCCATAGGAAAGCATTGTAAATGCTTTCCTATGAGACCGGCTGAATGCGCGAGCAGCTCTTGCCGCGCGTGCGCATTCAGCCGAATGGGAGGAGAGGAGGAGGATCGGAGGAGAAGAGCTCCCCGCCCAGCGCTGGAAATGGTAAGTTTTAACCCCTTTCCTCTCCCCAGAGCTGGGCGGGAGGGGGACCCTGAGGGTGGGGGCACCCTCAGGGCACTATAGTGCCAGG